CAGTTTTGAAAGAGATGCATCTTTGCTCTGGAAATTGTTATTGAAGATGTTAATACTGTAATGAAATGCTGCTTCTAATCATGTGGTTATTTAAAAAAAAAAAAATTTCCTTAGAACTGTGGGCACTGAGGTTCTTGAATCCAGGTCTACTCACTGGTCTGACTCCAAATCTCATCTTTCCTTTGTACCAAACATTCAGCCTACAGCTTAGCAGACTGTCAGCTTAGGTAGGGAGGAGGGAGGACCTTGTGGTTTGCGTCAGGTCCGTGAGGGACCTCTGCAACGGGGCTGGAGGTTCTATATCCCAGAGGAGCAAAATTGTGATCTCCAAAAAGCATGCTCTATCAGCTCCTGGGAGCTTTTAGGTGCCAGGGGCCAACAAGTCTGTATTCATAACTGTGTGTTTACTAAAAATAACTACAAATATGTGGTGGCACATAACCTGTAATCCCAGCACTCAGGAGGCTAACGCAGGAGGATCAAGAATTCATAGCCAGCCTGGGCTGTACAGTGAGGCCTCGAGAATAGAAGAAAAACCCCCCAAACTAACCATGGTTTCCTACTTGTAGCAGCTCTTCTTACAGCAATTCCGTGCTGCTCTGCTGAACTATGATACAATGGTGAAGACTATGGGCCCCATGGCAAGACTGCCTCATTTCAAGTGTCAGCCATCACTTCCTAGAGGATTCCTTGACACGGCTAGACTTCCTCTGGAAGATGGGCGAGAAACAGTTCTGGGGCTGGAGAGATGGCTCAGCAGTTAAGAACACTGGCTGGATTGTGTTTCCAGCACCCACATGGGCTAACAACCATTTGTAACTCTAGTTCCAGGGGATCCCATGCCCTCTTGTGGCCACTTTGGAAATGCGTGCACCCCAAACATACACATAAAACAAACAAGAAATAATTTTAAGGGTTATGTGAGACACTGTCAAGAGCCTAAAGAAGTTTTTTTTTGTTTTTTTTTAAACAGGCTCTCTCTGTAGCTCCAGCTGGAACTTGCTATGTAGACCAGGCTGACCTTAATCTCACAGAGATCCGCCTACCTCTGCCTCTGTAGTGCTGGGATTAAAGGCATGTGCCGTCACCTCCAGCTTTAAAGAAGTTCTGAATTCATGTAATCCGTGCAATCCTGTGGCAGGATTCCTACTTTACAAATGAGCGAACCCGGGCTCAGACCATAAGTTTCCCAAGGTCACAATGAATATAAGTAACTTGAAGTGACAGAATTAGGATTTGAACAGGGCAGTCTCATTCCATCCATGCAATTCAACAAATATTAAGCACCTACTATGTGTCAGACACAGTGACCATGCTCTACAGTCTTTGTTCCTGACCACTGATGACTCTCAACAGAATCCTGTAAGACTCTCCTCATTCCTTTAGAGGCAAGAAGGGAGTGTTTTCTCATTGGAGCTGAGGGGGAGTGGGCATTCTAGTGTCAGTGGTACTAACTTCTTAGGACCCAGAGCCCTTTACTCCCAGACTTCTCTCCCCAGGCTGCTACGGATGAACTGTGAGTGAAGGCCAGGGTTTACCTTTCGGTGATTCTGCATGTGTTCTTCATAATTTTGGATCTTGACCGTCAAGGCAACAACTGAAACCAGAAACCACAGAGGATGAGACTGGGCACAGAGGAAGGAAGGGCCCAGGCTTGCGTTGTGCTTTAAGAATCAAGGGAGTAACAATCATCAGTGCTTTTGTACAGCTCTCTGTACATCCCAAAACACTTTGAATTGCAAGATCTCAAACAACCTTTTATCTTACTACTAGAAAAGTCTAAGAAAGGGAAATTACTTAATTCCATAGACGTATCAACCAAAAACCATAGCAAATAGTATTTTTTGGGGAAGGAAGAGTTGAGATAGAATCTCACTGTAAGGCTCAGGATGACCTTAAACTTGCTATGCAGGCCAGACTGATTTTGAACTTGTAATCCTCCTGTCTCTACCTCCTGAGTGCTAGAATTACAAGTGTGTACCACTATAGTACTGGTGAATAGCACTCTTAATGGTAAAACTTTAGTTCTATCTTTTGACACTGTGATACAATGCTGTTACCTACAATGTTCATGCCTGAGAACCATGCAACAGAGTAATAAAAAAACAAAACAAAAACAAACTAAACACACACACACACAAAACAAAAAACCAACCACCACTAAGTTTACGTTTTTGTGTTGGATTGTGTTCATGGTTATCCTGGGACACATGTGGCCTGTGTACCACAGGCTGGACACCTACAAGAGCATTTCATTAAATTCAGGACTTACACTAGCCTATTACTGTTAGTAATTCAGTGTTGTATTAGGGGTCCTAGCCAATACACTAGGATAAGATTCTAAAACTGTCAAGGTGGCCCAGTGGGTAAAAGCACTTGCTACAAAAACCTGACAACCTGAGTTCAATCTCTAGAATCTAAGGTGGAAGGAGAGAACTGAAGAGTCATGATTCTGACTTTCACACGTGTGCTATGGCACACACGTACATGCACTCACACATATACACAATAATAAAATTAAAAATAAACTATTGATATTAAGAGTCTATTCACTTTAGTCATCACTCTTTTCTCTGTGCTTTCTCTACTTTTTCAGAATTACTACTTCCCACTTGTTTCCTATGGCTCTAGAATATTCCTCCTATGTTTCCACATATCTGCTTCCTACCCATGTTACAAAAATGAATGTAAAGCAGAAGTTGGTCCCAAAGAGAGACTGTCATTCCACTAGACCCTTCCCAGTATACACAGAGACTCTAGAGAGGATGGTGACCTGCTCAACCTCACTCGACAGGACTTGGCTGCTCAATCTAGTATCACAAGATCCAGAATCTCAGTCTATCATGTACCCTTCTGAAGCTTTATCAAGATCCCTAGGCCAGGTACCAACTAGCAGACTCCTCTGCACCCCCATTTCCAAGGGCCCCTGGACGAACTTCGTGCCTCCAGGGATCTGGTGTCCTCAGGGTTTTCTGCAATCTTGTTCATCAGCAATTCTTGCTTGATTTTTAGCTTTTCTTTCTGTTGAAGACAGAAATTAAGAAAATCTCTGTGGTCTGTTATCCCCTAAGAACTAACTTTCCTTCCCAAAAGGCTGTAGTTTATAGCATCTAAGCCCAGAAGGCTTGGGGCCAGAGTTCACTGTGTTCACCTTGGCCTTGGCCAACCATATGGCTATTCATATCCAGAGAGCCCACCATCAAAGCTACGGATAAGAGAAATAGTTTGCTGGCTGAATGCCCTCAAGGCTTATTCATTCATTCATGAACACGCTAAGCACCTACTGTTTGTCAGATGTTACAAGGGAGGAACAAAACCGCACCTCCTCTCAAGATGCTTAGTTTGGCTATCGAATGACATCAGGATAAATGCTATGACTAGGGAAGCATGGGATGTAGCATGCTACATCAGAGTTGGAGGGAAACCCCAGGGAGAGGACTGAGGGAGGCTGAGACTGAGGGCGGTACAGACACTGACCTGGTTGGCCATTTCCAATGACAAGATTCTTTTTACAACATCATCAACCCTGTGGAAAAACCAAAGGAATGAAAGAAGTATTGGGAAGGGGAGGAAGAAATGCTATTTTATTTTTTTCTAAAATTTTTAAATTTTTTTATATTATTATTGATTGATTGATTGATTTTGGTGTTCTAAAAATGCCTTGTTATTTTTATTTTATGTGTATGAGTGTATTGCCTGCATGTATGTAAGTGTAACTGTGTAATGCAGTGCCTGAGGAGGTCAGAAGAGGGCATCAGATCCCCTGGAACTGAAGTTACAGACAGCTGTTAACTGCCATGTGGGTGCTGGGAACCGAACCCAGGTCCTCTGCAAGAGCAGCCAGTGTTCTAGAGTAGCCAGTGTTCTTAACTGATGAGCCATCTCTCCAGTCCCTGAGTTTTGTTTTTTTGAGACAGGGTCTCCTTGTAGCCCCAGCTGTCCTGGAACTCACTATTACACCAGGCTGGGCCAAATCTCAAGAGATTCACCTGCCTCTGCCTCCTGAGTACTGGGACTAAAGGGTGTGCCATCATACCTGACCTTTTATTTATATTATTTATTTGTGTTTGTGTATGTGTATGTACAGGTATTTGCATGTACAAGTATATACAGGTGTGCCTGTGGAGACCAGAAGAGGACATCTGATCCTGTGGGACCAGAGTTAAAAAGTTTATGAACTACCTGATACAGATGCTTGGAACCAAACTAAATCATTTCTCCAGCCCAGAAAAAAAAAAAAAAAAAAAGGATGGCTCAGGGTGTAAAGGTGCTTTCTGTGTAAGCCTGACATTGGAATCCACAAAAGTGGAAAAGAATCAACTACACACAAAGTTGCTCTCTAATTTCCGTATGTGGACATGCACCCCATACTCTCACACTATGCACACACACACATAATAAAAATTGAAAAGAAAAAGCAAAATCGAATGATAGTTCCTTCTATGATAAATGGACCTCTTTGGAAGTGGGGATCCATATTTTAGGGCTGTGGTTTATTGGGCTGAGAACATAGAGGCAAACAACTAGGGCTGTTGGCTTGAGTAGTCTGGTTTCATCAAAGGAAGGGCAAAGGGAGGATTTCCATCTCAGCCAGACTGTACAATAGGCAAGATTAGAGGGACAGTCCTAACCCTGTTGTATAGGACAGAGACTGGGTAGAAAGACTGTGGCTCTAGTGTATGTAAGTTCTGGACTCAAACCCTAGCTCTGTTCCTTAGATGTATAACATAGAGCATTTAATACTTTATAAAACTGGGACATTCTTTCTTCTCTCACAGGGCTTTTGTTAAGGGTCAAGAGAAGAGAGATTTCTACCAAGAGCAGTAAGGCATGTTAACTCTTTGGTATCTAGTGGTACAAGGTCTTCACACAGAGTACCCAAAGAAAAGTGCAAGTAGTTGCGCTCCATCTGTCCCAGCTGCTAACTAGAGCTCACCACACCCAGGGCGCTACAGCTTTCTGCCTCATCGATAATCAGGCTTCAAATACAACAGGCCAATCTTGAGGTACTCCTCTCAACTCCTTGCTCATCCTCCCAGGGACTCCTGTGTCTTCAAGTTTCTTCCTGCTTACTTCTCCATGCCAGGGATGATGTTCTTGTATTCTTTGATGAGTGTGGAACTGGGCGGTTCATTGTCTTTGCTGGGCTGGACTGTCAAGTATAAAAATAGAAAACATCTAGCATCAACTCTCACTGCCCATTCTCCCAGGCTCCTTTCTTCCCACCCACTCCCCAACTCTGAGAAATATTCAAGGTCTCAACAAGGCAACGGACAGCTTCAGGCTCAGTTTCGTTTCTGCAAACCCTGTGGCACTTGGCTTTGATATTTTATGCTGCAAATAGATGGCCTTCCCCAAGACATGGCTGACCACATGAATGAAATAAAAGGGTTGAGAAAGTGCAGCTAGCTTTAGGGTAACTGTTGGCAGGGAGTATGGATCACAGAACTCAGCTTTGGCATGTGTGCCCTACTGCATCCCTTGGAGGTGAGGTTGAGGGGTCAGCTATCCTCTCCAGGCAGATTTTGTTCTGCCACTATGCAAATGACACTAACAGCACTAAATATATATATGTAATTTATTGAGCACAGGGCTAGGAATGCTTTTCATGTGTTGTTATGTCTGAATCATAGCAATGCTCTCCAATGGATATTGTGACATTTATTTTAGAACGGGTTCAGAGAATGTAACTTGCCGCAAATAACATATTTTTAGTAAGAGGGCCCTTGTGCATGCTAACTTGGATGGGAAACCACCCTCCACCTCAGAAGGGCAGATACAAAGAGCTATACTCTGGGAACGCCTGGGTGGTGCCAGCCACTGACACTCACTGGGGCGAACTTATTTCCATTCATATCCGGTTCGAAAGCTTTTGCTCCTGCCTCCTTGTGCCCCCGCATAAAGATTTCTGGCTTTGTGGGTGTGGGAGGGGGGGTCTTCCGGCCCGCCCCTCTGCTCACTCCACCACCACCTACCACCCCCCGCCCCCCCGCCCT